TTATCCTTGGCGACTTTCCCAGCGACCGCAGCGGCGACGACCGCGAGAGCTCCACGTCCGTGCACTCGATCGGCTATATTCGCGTCCGCGACTCGACGGGCAAGCTCGTCCTGAACGAATCCGGTCTCTCTACCTTGAGACATCTATCCATGCGATCATCGAAGACTCATGCGGCTCGATTAGACACGGTCGCAACCGACTTCCACTACAAGATCAACATGGCGGGCACCGATGTGGTCATGAACCTCGAGGAGCTCACGATGCTGCCGTTTGCGCAAAAGATCAAGTGGTTCTCGACCGAGATTCACCGTCTCTGGTTTCCATGGGAGTCGGGCCACGTCGACATTGGTAGCACGCCCTCTCTGTCGACTTTGATGCAGGAAATGATGCATGTGCCTCTACCGATAGTGGTCCGACGCGATAGTGTCCTCGCCGACTCGTTTGACCACATCATGCTCCTCAAGCCGCACCAGATGCGGCAGCGCTGGCGGGTGTCGTTCGTTGGCGAACCTGCCCTCGACGCCGGTGGCGTCCTCCGCGAGTGGCTCACGCTCCTCTGCGCCGAGCTCTTCCACCCGTCGCTGGGCCTCTTTGTCCCGACCGTCGGCGACGACACGAGCTACTGGGTCCACGCGGGCTCGGGCTTTAGCCAGCCCAACCACCTCGACGTACGACACACTGTCTTGCTTTCGTCGACTCACAGAGCGCGTCTAGTACTTTTCCTTTGCGGGACGCATTCTCGGGAAAGCGCTCCTCGAAGAACAGCTCATTCAAGTGCACCTGGCACTGCCGCTGCTCAAGCACATGCTTGGCGTGCCCATCTCGTTCACGGACCTCCAGTTCCTCGACGACGAGCTCTACCGCAGTCTTCTGTGGCTCAAGCGCGCAACCGACGCCGACGCGATCGCCGCGCTGTGCCTCGACTTTACCGTGGTACGCTGCAGCAGCATCTCACGATCGTCGAGTCCATCGTGATGTGTAGACGCGCAAGGTCTCGAACGGGATTCAAGTCGTGCCGCTGGCACCCAACGGCGACGCGATCGATGTGACGCCTGTGAACAAGGCGGCGTACATCGACCTCCTCTTCCAGTACCACATGCTTGACAGCGTCTCGATCCAGCTGCTCACGTTGCTCGCATCGCTCTACTCGGTCGTGCCCGAAGGTCTCCTCAAGCTCTTTGACTACCAAGAACTGGAGCTCCTCCTCTGCGGTACGACGCTGCGTTCTTGTGAACCAGCATTTGCATTGGCTTAGGGGTGCCGTCCATTGATACGGAAGACTGGCAACGGCACTCGGAAGTCAAGTACGTGACGCCGCTCGTGCCGACGGAAATCGAGCTGCGGAATTGCCGGTGGTTTTGGGCCATTGTCAACAACATGGCACCGCAAGAGCAAGCGCGACTGCTGCAGTTTGTGACCGGCAGCTCCCGCGTGCCCGCGCAGGGGTTCAAGGTCTCTACATTGTGTACGAGCGCGCGTGTGACGGCAGTGGCGTAGGCGCTCATTAGCAGCGACGGCCGCGTCCAGCCGTTCAACCTGTCCTTCTGCGGCCCCGAGATTGGGAATCTGTACCCGCGAGCGCACACGTGCTTTAACCGTCTCGACTTGCCCGTCTACGAGACCAAGGACGAGATGACCAAGTACCTCACGCTGGTATGTGGCATATAATGTGCATCAGCGACGCTACGATGTTTTTATGGACAGATTGTCAACATGGACATCACCGGCTTCACGATCGAGTAACCTGCTTGTTCTATCGACTATTTAACGTTATCAACCCGTCTGGCATCATTCTTGCATGCGATTATTGTCTTTGGCTGCTGTGCATAATCTGTCTGCCTGGAAGTGTAACCAAGTAAGAATATCGGAACCGCGTTGGGTCGCCATCTCGGCGACTCTGCGAGATTAGCAGCACATTGACCTGTCCAAAAGCCTGGTTTTAAATGTACGTTTCGGATCTCAGTCCTGGATTGGCGCCTCATTTCCCAATGCAGTGCGTACACTATATCCATTTCTTGATATAGTGTGCGAAAGAAGCATCATATGGTGTCAGACATCATAATCACGCTGCGTAAACAACATTTACCGTAAATATACGCTATTTTATGTAAAACCATCGGGTCGGTACGGGGAAACGGCTGGTTTGATGCGGAAGCAGCTGGTTTTATGCGGATTTTTACGCGCCATGTCAAAATCACGGTATCGGATTCGTCTTGAGGTGCATTTGCTTAAGCCTACATGAGGAACGCGTGCTTTTGCAAACGTAGCAATGCCAAAAATACGGTAACAAACCGAAACTAAGACCGTACTTATACAGGATCAGATTCTACAGTACAGTTCTGTCTTACTTTGTTTTCAAAGTTGACATCACAAATGACTTTGATGATCGTATGTGACCACGTCCGTTGACTCGGGATGTCGGCCAGAAACTCGAATTGAGTTTCGAGTTGCTGGCTCTTGATGAACGTCCACCGTTGCTATTCCAAGACGGTGTGAGCGGACGCTGGTGTTATGAGAAGTCATTTGCTTTTTACATTTTAAAAATTCTCTTTTCTATATATACAATATTGTCTTGTTGGCATTCCAAAGACACACAATATGTACAAGTAGAACATTTTAAGAGCATCTCCACCGGTACCCGGTATCCTGCTCTGGCTCTGGCTTTTTTACAGTGTGATTTCTCCCTGTATCGCCGGATACAGCGCGGCGGTATAAAAATGCCCCACCGGTCGCCCTGTAAAAAGATGCAGGGAGTCGCGCAATGTATGGCGTCGATAACTACGAACTTCGGCATCAAATTCGATTTTGTATCTATTTTTTGACTAGTATACAAACAGCAAGTAATTTAGAGTTTTACAGGGTAAAAAACCAGAGTGGCCGCGAGCCCCGCATCGCGCTCCAATTTGCAGGGACCTCGGCCAATTTTTGCTCCACCCTGTAAAAATTATACAGATACAGGGCGATTTACAGGGACCGGTGGGGCGTTCTCCCCGTAAATTTTTGAAATTATAAAGAGCCAGATAGAGATAGCGCGGACGGGTGGAGAAGCTCTAATACATCACGAGCAAGTCCACACGAGCAATTCTTATCAATAGAGGATTTTCGTAACTCATTTACTTTTGACTTTGACTTTACTTTTGAGCTCTTCTTTTGAATTTCAACGAAGACAAAAACGCGTATTTCGAAAGCCCGTTGAAACTCAAAAGTAGTTTGTGCCGAATAAATGTACGGATACGAGCACGCGGCTGCTGCCACCAGTTTAGTCAGGCTGATGCGCAGCGAGGACGGGGACGAAGAGACCGGCTGTACTAGCCAGCCTTCGCAAGCATCAGCAGGGGTCGAAGCCCTTGTCAAAGTCGATTCGCGGCGGGGGTCGCTGTACCGGTATACGGAACAGACGATGGACGCGTAGATGCTGCAAGATGCGCATAACTCGCACGCCTCGACACGCGGCATAGAGCGCGAGCACGAAGTTAGCCGCTTGAGCCGAGATCAGTGGAGGCGCGGCGAAAACCATCGACTTCGCCGAGCGGCCGCCGAACGCTTACGGATACGACTGCCGGATACCGAAACGAGCAGTCCCGAAAAGTCAAATGAACGTTGAGGTTTTAGGCCCATTTGCTCAACGTTGACTTTCGCCGAAGTCCTGGACTTTTTTCAGCAGCCAATCAAATTGCAGAGAGTGAAACTCAAAAGTCAAAGTCAAAAGTAAATGAGTTACGAAAATCCTCAATGTGCACAAGCATTGAGGAATTTCTGCGGCTTGGAATTACCCTTCAGAACGCGCGTTCGCTCGCTCGATGTCGAAGGATATGCCTTTGCCCGTTCTTGCTGGTAATCGAAGTGTCTCGGCTTTCCTTGGGAACACTGACCTCAATGCGTTGATAGACGTCCGCGGTAGGAAGACGAGGTTCGAGTGTAAATATAAGAAACCAATGTTGATTTACTACCACTAGCTAGCTGTTTACTTGGTCAAGCCAAAGATGTTGCCGGTGAAGCCGGGGCGGACATAGTCGGCGGGCGCGCCAATCTCCTTGCCAAGGCCATCGAACGCGTCGACCTGGATGATCTTCTCGCGGGCAGCCTCGACTTCGTCGATGAGCGCCTGCTCGGCAGCCGTCGCCGACCGCTTCTCCTTGCGGAGCGTCGCGAGGACCGCGTCGGCCTTGATGGCCTTGGGGAGCGTCGCGTGGATGAGAGCGATGCGGTCCTCCGGGTCCTTCGAGATGAACATGCTCTCGGCAAAGAGGTCGCGGATACCGCTGTCGCTCGAAACGAGGTCGGCGACCTTGCGAACCTGCGCGTCCGACGGCGGCGCGTACGACTGGCCAAACGGGAACGTGACCGCGCGCATGGCACCACCAATGCCGGGCACCGGGAAGTTGTCCTGAATGCCGTACAGGGCCGTCTGCGCTTCGTAGCAGAGCGACGTCATGGCGTAATCAAACACCGGGTCAATGCCCTGGACGTGCTTGTTCTGCTGGTAGAACCACAGCGTCGAGTAGCCGAGGTACAGGCTCGAGAAGGCGTCGGCAAAGCGGCCCGAAATCATCTCGGCAAACTTGAGCTTGCCGCCGAGGACGAGCGCCATGTCCGACATGACGGCAAAGTTGGCGGCGAGGCGGCTCATCTGCGACTCGTAGTGGCCGAGGAGGTCCGACTTGGAGCGCGAGCGCGTGGCCGCGCGCGTAAGCGACGCCGCCGTGTTCGAGACACCATGGCCAATGAGCGCGTTGACGTGCGTCTTGAAGCCCGCAAGGTCGTTGCCGTCCTGAAGCGTCTTGATGAGCGGGTACAAGTGCGGGTGCGCGCGCGTGAGGCCCTGGCCGTAAATGATGAGCGACCGCGTCAGCGTGTTGGCGCCCTCGACCGTGATCGCCACCGGCATGCTAATGTACGTGTTGGCCAAGAAGTTGCTCGGGCCACGGCAGATACCGGCGCCACCAAGCACGTCCATGGCCTGGGTGACCGCGTCGCGGCCGCGGGCCGTGATCTGCTGCTTGCAGACGCCCGAGATGACGGCCGGCTGCTCGTGCTGGTTGATCATGCCGTTGACCAAGTGCTGGCCGGCAATGTTGATGAGCGCGTTGCTACCAATCGAGGCAAGGTGCTCCTGGACACCCTCCATCGTCGCGACGGGGACCTTGAACTGCTTGCGGATGCGCGCGTAGCCCGTGGCGGCGACGGCCGAGAGCTTGGTGCCAGCGACAGCCGACGCCGGGAGCGAGATCGAGCGACCCTCGGCAAGGCAGTCCATGAGCATGTTCCAGCCAAAGCCGACGCGCGTCTGGCCACCAATGATCTTGGACATGGGGATGAAGACGTCTTCGCCCTGGACCGTACCGTTCATGAACGGCACCGAGAGCGTGTCGTGGCGGCGGCCCATCTGGAGACCTTCGTGGTTGCGCTCAAGGAGGGCGACCGTGATGCCGGCCGAGCCCGTGCCCTTCAAGAGGTTGTCGGGATCCGTGACATCGATCGCCAGACCGACGCACGTCGCAACGGGCGCGAGCGTAATGTAGCGCTTGTTGAACTTGGCGCGGATACCGAGGACGCCATCCTTTTCGCAGACAACGCCCGTGTCGCGCATGTTGGCAGCGTCCGAGCCCGAGGACGGGCCAGTCAGGCCAAAGCACGGGAGGTGCTTGCCTTCCGCAAGGGCCGGCAGGTACGCGTTCTTCTGCTCATCCGTGCCGTAGCGGAGGAGGAGCTCAGCAGGGCCAAGCGAGTTGGGCACGCACACCGTGACGGCGGCAGGCGCCGAGCGCGACGCAATCTTGGTGATGACCATCGAGTGGCCGTGGGCCGTAAATTGCTTGCCGCCGTAGCTCTTGGGGATGATCATGCCAAGGAAGCCCTTCTCCTTGATGAACTTCCACGCCTCGAGCGGGAGATCGCCGTCGCGGAAGATCTGCGTGTCGTCGAGCATCTCGCAGAGCTGCTGCACCTCGTTGTCCATGAACGACTGCTCCTCAGGCGTGAGCTTGGCCGAGTACTTGTCGAGGGCCTTGAGGCTTGGGCTGCCCGTGAAGATATCGCGGTCAAAGCCGACAGTGCCCGACTCGAGCGCCGCCTTCTCCGTGTTGGACATGCGGGGCATCATCTTCTTGGCCACCTTGTAGAGCGGGCCATAGACGATCGTGCGCTTCTGCATGGGCGCGGCCGCGGTCAAGGCGGCGGCGTGGCGGCGCAGAGCCATCTTGGACGACGAAGCCAGCATGTTGGAGCTGCGAGGCAAATGCAAATGTGAGGGTCTCGGACTCTCCTGAAAAAGTCCTATTTATATCTTTGGCCGGCCCACATTTGATTTCGGACTTTCGGCACGCTGTCGAGACAAATGCCGAATTCCAACGGTTCAAATCGGATGTGTCCGATTTCCAAAGGGATCTTCAACGTGACGGTGTTGACTCGACAGGTGATTTCACGCCGCTGGACCGGTGCAGGCTGTTGAGTCAACGTTGAGTTTCGCGAGTGGCGGCAACGCCTCGAGCGCTGGCGAAGTCCACTGCGGTGCGGTAAACTGCGACGGACGACGCGCCTCCACATAGCACTCAATCGAGAGCGAAGAGACGCGTCGCGTACGCGTCAACGGCGCAGGCACAACGACGGCCTGCGCTGTGGGCAGGCGTTCTGACGTTGCATTTTATTAAAATTACGAAAGTGCAACTCGTGTTCGCTCCGACTTCAACTTGGCATGAGGAATGAATCCATGGACAGCAGCCAACGTCGGCGAGCTTTTCGCGCTCGCGTCGCTCCTAGTACTCGTAGCCAAGTGCACGTCGAGAGAGACATCCAGGGAGCTCCTCGGACACCGAGCTTGCTGCAAGCGTCCAAACGTTGCCGGTCGTAACTTGATGTCACGGGCAAGTTGAAGAAGAAGACGAGATCGCGTGGGTGGTCCATGCACCGGGGCACACACTCGTTGGTTTATGCAATCGGATTTTGGGTGCACCGCCACGTGATGCTGCCACACCATCCATGGCGCGACCATCATCATTTCATGCGTGTACAGGCCATGCCAAGCCAGCCAAGCCACGATGCAGCGCATGGCATCGCACACTACGGGTCTGATTCGATCCAAGGTGCAGATGTGACGTGGGCGCGTCAGAAGGTAGGTGTCCAATCAACGACCATGTTTCCGAGGCGATGAGTGGGCAAGGAAGTCCTCCGCATCCTCCTCGCGTTGGTGCGACCAGCAGCAGCCAGTATCAAAGCGACGGAGCGCAGCGATGACTACGACGTAAACAGACAAGTGATGCTTGGAAATGGCACCGCCGCACCCCATCAAATCACATCACATCCGTTCTTCGCAAAGATATGCCAAGTCCTTGTCACTTGAGTCCTTACTACCAATTCTTGTTGGTGCACTCGCCAAGGGTCCATCGATGAACGTACAGTATGTATGGACCCCTGTACTATTCACGCAGTGTCAAAATGAACTAAACGGAAGACGACATACAACCGATGTCGCAGGACTACATTTCGGCGGAGTTGAACGACACCTCCGCGACTCTCCTCGGCAGAAACGACGATATCTGCAGGTATCTGGAGGGTGGGTGCTCCCTTCCTTCCTGTGTACGAAGGCCCAGCGGCATTCAGCCCGCTTAGGCAGCCGGAAATGGGGGAAGTTACTCCCCGGTACAGATGCAGCTCGTCATTTGCAGACATGCAAAAGCGTGGCCTCATCGCAACCATACGCGTGGTTGGCATGGCTTGGTCTTAGCTGTCGCCTTGGATAAACACTTCAATGGCGAAGGTTGGCCGCAAATGCACTTGAACGTGAACAAAGATCTGCTTTTGGGAAGAACGGGGCGCCAATAGATGCTTCCAACCCGCGTCATCGACTTTTGGACGGCGCATTTTCAAGAGACTGGCGCGCGATCATGGCTTCTTGCGCCGTCTACGCTGTGGAAGCTGCATCGACTGGTGTAGGTCAGTAGTCCACACACACGACGTGCTTCTTGCTTCCATTACACCCGCGACCTCAGCAACAGACCTTGGCTCGAATCTATACAACAACACATATAAAATCAAAGATGGCGTGGCAAGACGCACCGAGTATATCGACATTACACCCAAGTGCGCTACCTTGGGTGCCTAATAGCTATCATAATCGCTGGCGCTCGAGTGCTCATTGCTCTCGTTCGGTAGCAGCACCGATCGCTGCGCTGCCTCTGCTACTGAGGTCCGAGTCAATGCGATCATTAACAAGGGCGTCTCGCTGCGTCGGTTTGACCGGCGCACCCACGACTTGGCATATCCCATGCGAGGAGTGTTGATCCCATTGGTGATTGGCATCTTTTTATCACGTCACATACAAAGACCTTGTTATCTTTTATCTTGTGTTTTTATTACACAACGGGCGGCCACTTCCTTGGCCAGTCGCCCGCTACCGATGTACCGTACGTTCGCGGCAGTGGCCGCCCACCCGACGGAGACCGCCGGCACTGCCTCCCGCCTCGTCTTTGGCTGGGCCAAGCCCTTGCTCTACCTCGGCAACCAGCGCAAGCTGTCGCCCGACGACCTGTACCCGCTGCCATCGGCGAGCCAGGTCGGTCCGCTCACTTTGCACTTTGCTGACGTGTACGAGCACAAGGATGGCGGTCTTCTCGCCACCTTCTTCTCCATTTACTATGGCCGCTTCCTTTGCATTGGCCTCATGCAGTGTCTCTCGGTCCTCGGCGACCTCTACGGCCCCGGCTACGTCCTCGGTGCGCTCCTCCGCGCCGTCGCCGCGCCGGTCGTTGACATGCAAGTGGTGCTCACGCTCATTGGGTCATTGTACCTCGTGCAACTCGTCAACGCATTCCTCAAGGCGCACTTGACGTACATGAACGAGAGCCTCGGGCTTGAGTTCTCGTCGTCACTGCGCGCGATGCTCTTTGAGAAGGTGCTCCGCCTCCGCGCCGTCGCGTCCTCGTCGTCGGTCGCGAAAGAAAAGATGGCCGCCGACATCGCCAATCTCATCTCGACGGATACGATCAACGTCATGGGCTTTGCAACGAGCATGCACTCGATGTGGATCGTGCCGCTGCAAATTGCGGCCGTGCTCTACCTCCTCTACTCGAACGTTGGCTGGTCCATCTTTGTCGGCCTCGGTGTCGTCGCGATCATCTTGGTCATCAACGCGATCGCAGCCATGCTCATGGGTGCCGAGCAAGCGCGCTGCTTTGAGCTCAAGAACGACCGTATGGAGGTCCTCCAACAAGTGTTTGCCGCGATTCAAACCATCAAAATGGACGTGCTCGAGACGCAGTACGAAGCCAAAATCAAGGCGCTGCGCGGCCTCGAACTCGCGTCGGTTCGCACGCTTATGCGCATCCTCCTCGTCCTCGTCTCGTTTATGAACTGCACGCTGCTCCTCGTGACACTCGTTGTCGTTGCAACGTTTACGCTCTGGATGCAGCAAACGCTGACCGTCACGATCGTCTTTTCGACTCTCGCGCTCTTCAAGCCGCTTCAGGACGCGCTTGTGAACCTCCCGATTGCGCTTATGGCGATGGTCCAGTCGCTCACGTCGGTCCAGCGCATCAACGACATCTTGCTCCTCGATGAAGTGAGTGCGGCTACAAGCGTCTGGGGCCCGTCGCACCCGCTTGCAGCCATGTATGCCAACGAAGGTGTCGTCGTCGCGATCGAGACGGGCTCGTTTGCGTGGCACGCGACCTCCGGTCCGATCCTTCGCAACATTCACCTCCGCCTCCGACGCGGCGAGCTCGCCGTGCTGCACGGCGCGGTCGGCCAAGGCAAGTCGTCGCTCGTCGCAGCGCTCCTCGGCGAGATGCAAAAGCTCTCCGGCTCGGTCTTTGTCGGCGGCCAAGTGGCCTACCTTGCGCAGCAGGCGTGGATTCAAGTCGTCGCTCGTCGCAGCGCTCCTCGGCGAGATGCAAAAGCTCTCCGGCTCGGTCTTTGTCGGCGGCCAAGTGGCCTACTTTGCGCAGCAGGCGTGGATCAGAAAACACGACGATCCGCGAAAACATCCTCTTTGGCCAGCCGTACGACCATATCAAGTACGAGAAGGTTCTCGACGCGTGTGCGCTGACAAAGGAAGTTGGCGCCATCGGCGACTTGGCCGAGATTGGCCTCAAGGGTGTCGCCCTCACTTGCAGCCAAAAGGCCCGCATCGCACTGGCGCGCGCGTGCTACAGCGACGCCGACATTCTGCTTCTGGACGCGCCCTTGGCGGCACTCGACCCGAGTATGGCCAGCGAGATCTTTACCAAGTGCATTCTCGGCCTCTTGGCCAAGAAGACGGTGCTGCTCGTGACGCACAACATGGAGATCATCCAGTCGCCCAGTGTGCGCCGCAGCCTCCTCCTTCAAGGCGGACGGCTCCACGAAGCGTCGCGCGACCCGCCCAAGATGCTGCGCCGCGCCGTCTCGAGTGTTGTGGCCAACAAACCGCGCACGCTGCACCGGGCGCCGTCGTCGGTCATTGACGCCAAGCCCGAGAGTAGTAGCCGGCCCCTCCAGCGCATGGCCTCGAGCGCAACCGAGACCAAGCCGGCGCGAACGCTCCACCGTGCCGTGTCGGCGGCCGTTGAAGCAAAGTCGGACATGCCCCAGCGTCGACTCCACGACCTCCTCGGCTCCCCGTCGCACCAGTCAGTGCGCAGCCTTCAGTTGCCCGAGACGCTTGCGCCCTTGGCCGAGGATGCGCCAAGTGTCACCGAGTCGAGTCGGCTGCTCCTCGACGACGACAGCGACGACGATGGCAACGGACACGTGTCGACGGCCATTGTTGGCGGCTACGTGCGTGCGATGGGTGGGTGCGTCGCCGTGTGCACCATTCTCTTGCTCACGACGAGCCTCCAACTGCTCCGAATCGGCAGCGACTTGTGGCTCACGCACTGGGCCATGGCGCCGGCCTCCACGTTGTTTGGCTACGATCCCATGGCGCTCTACGCGGGACTTGCGCTCGGCAGCTGCGTCCTCGTCGCCCTTCAAACGTACGCAGTGATTGCGTTCGGGCTCCGCGCGTCCCAGCACATGTTTGGTGCGATGCTTTCCGCGCTCTTGGCAGCGCCCATTCGATTCTTTGCCTCGACGTCGACGGACGCCGTGTGCAGCCGCTGCAGCGACGACGTGGTCGCGTGCGACTTTAGCATCCCGTTCACCCTCGGCCCGATCCTCTTTGAGGTCTCGTCGTTTCTGGCGACGCTTTTAACGACTCTCTATGTCACGCGCTGGCCGGCGCTTCTCGTGCTGCCTCTTCTCTACCTCGACTACAAGCTCGGCGCGTTCTTTCTCGAGCCGCTCCATGAAGTGCACCGCCTCGAGAACGCGTCGCGCGCGCCGCTCTTGCAAGCGATTGCCGAGGCCATTGACGGTGCAACGACGCTGCGTGCGTTCAAAGAGACGGCCCGGGTCGAGGCGAGTGCGACGTTGAAGATCGAGGCGTTTGGGGAAGCGCGGGCCGCGGCCACTGCGCTCAACGCGTGGTGTGCTTTGCGCATGTCGCTTGTCAGCAGCACGGTCGTCGCCGCCTTTCTCAGCGGGCTGGTTGCGCTGCGCCATCAACACGAGCTCAGCTTTGGCCTGCTGGGGCTCTTGATCACATACGTGCTCGCTATGCCGGCCAATCTCAGCTACCTGGCGACGATGTGGTCGCAGCTCGAGGCTGCGATGCGCTCGCCCGAGCGCCTCCAAGAGTACATGGCGATCGAGTCCGAAGGCGACGCGACGACGACACTCGCCAATTGGCCCACGGCCGGTGCCATCACGTTTGACGACGTGAGCTTTCAGTATACGTCGGTCGACCCGCTCGTGCTCAAGAACGTCTCGTTTGCTGTTGCTGGTGGCGAGAAGATTGGTATCGTTGGCCGCACGGGGCCGGGAAAAGCAGCCTCATGATGGCGCTCTTCCGCATGAACGACGTGGCGTCCGGGTCCATTGCCATCGACGGCGTCGACATTGCCACCGTGGGTCTCCGTACGCTGCGCAGCCACCTCGCCATCATTCCGCAAAACCCCGTCCTCTTCAAGGGCACGCTGCGCAACTACTTGGATCCGTTCGACGAGTACGACGACGCGTCGCTCTGGGACGTGCTCCAAAAGGTGCAGATGGTCGACCGCGTCTCGCAGCACGACGAGAAGCTCCTCGGCCCCGTGGACGAGAACGGCGAGAACTTTAGCGTCGGCGAGCGCCAAATGCTGTGCATGGCCCGCGCCCTCCTTCGGCAAGCCAAGGTCGTCGTGCTGGACGAAGTCCTGACGGTGACCGACCACGCCGTCGACAAGGTGCTCCGAACCGAGTTTGCGGCGTCGACGGTGCTCACGATAGCGTACCGCTGCGAAACAATGCTTGCCTGCGACCGGATTCTGGTGCTGGACCAGGGAGCTCTGGTGCACAGCGGGTCCCCCAAGGCGCTCCTCAAGCAGCGCCACGAGCTCTTCTTAGAGCTCCTCCGCGACGGTGGCTACACTGGCAAGATGCACTGACAAGGCTAGATATCAAACTACATCAGACATCGCTGCAGTTTGCCGTTGCTATCTTGTTGCCACACCGCGTGGAGGAATCCAGAGCTCCTTCCGGTGGCAGGTCGGTGTGGACAGGACAGAACCTGCCCTTCGTCGCAACTAGTAACCCTGCGAAGGTCCTGCGTGCTGGCGACTTGCTTGGCCGAACGAATGCCAACAAAGCGCGCAGCTGCTGATGAGCCAGCTTCCATTCCTTCCCCGATGCCGAACGCCGCACAGCAGCGCGCCACGTCATGGCCCGCCCGTCGCTATCACTTGGCGTCCCTGTTAGATTCGCTGACCACGTGCTCGGAGGCTGCCACTCGGTTCAGCGCCAAAGGCAGACAGATTATGATCTATCTCTACACCACCACGTTGACGGCATTTGCCCTGTGTCGCCTGGTCGCCTCTTCGGTCCAGTTCCATCCGGACTTGGTGTAACCCATGGTCCCCTACATCCAATATAGGGAGGGAGGGACCTACTGAAAGTAAAAAAGCACCACCGCCTCGTGGACCATCTCACGCGCAACCGAATTGACAAAGGATCAACCACCACAACGCTTGTTTATAACGCAAAATAGTATGTATACGACAATGGCGTTGATGCGCTACCGACATCGTGTCCGAGTTGCTGGCTGACGTCGCAGCAGCCGAGTCGTCAACGGTGGGTGTTACCACGCGGTGACGACGTGGCGCCGGGCTTCTCGTACATTGCATGGACGTCTTGAGAACGTCTGCAGAAGGGCCCTATTACATATAGCTACAGCATAGTCATCCAGCACTGGTACAGTTTGAGATCGAGACGACGACGTCGCGAGGGCATTACGTTGTGGCAGACGCTTGCGCGGTCGCCCTTTTTGCATGGCCACCCACCTCATTGTATCACAAGGGGGGTGGCACGAAAGCGTATCCCTGGATCTGATTGGCTTCTTTTGTACCTTCAAGAACTCCAAATATACTTGAAGGCTCGGCGACGGACGCTTCGCCCGAGTCTGTATCTCTCTTCCTCCCCTCGCTTCATGGCCTCTCCTCGTTGATGCAACAACCACTCCTCGATTGCACCACGTCTTCTTCCATGTCCCTCCGGCTGCCGCAGAGTCCGCCCAGGTACAGTACTACCACCATGCTGTATCTAATAACGTTAGTATCTGCGCCGTGCCGCTCGTTGGGAAGCGCCGGCCATCCGAGTCGCCGCGGCCATCGGTCGACCTCGAGCGAAGCGCCGTGCGTATCGACCGCCAGCGCAGCGGCAGCTCGCCGCCCAAGCCTGCGCGCGTCACGTCGCCGGGAAAGCACGCGCCCGAAACCACCGGCATGCTCCTTGTGAAAGACACGACCACGGAATGGACCAAGGTAGCTCCTTGACGACCGCAGAGCTTGTGGCCTCATCCAACTTACCATGCTAGCGCTGGTGCCAGCTCGTGGGCTCGACCTTGTCGATCTACGATACGCCGTCCAGTTCAGCGCCGTGGCACCAACTCGACATGTCGTACCGCACGGTCGTACGCGTGGCGCCGACTTCGCCAACGTCCAGCGCGGCGCACTATACGTTCTCGCTCGCCCAAGGCGGCAGTGTACGCGACGCCTATGCTGGCAACCTGTGCTCACCGACAACCATGGTAGTCGGCGGCGATCGTGCTCTGCCGCGCCGACTCGGCCGCGGACCTGACCATGTGGGTCGACGCGCTCTCGCCGTATGCGCAAAAGGTGCAGCAGACCGCCAAGAAGCAGCGGTTCGAGGCGCCGTTTAGCCAAACCGAGTTTGTGACACACAAGGTCGCGTCAGTGCCGCCGAAGATGCTGCACTTGATCCTTATCCGGCACGGCCACTACGTCCACGCCCACACAAAACATGCGCGCGACAGCGAAAAAGTGCTCTCGCACATTGGTCGGCAGCAAGCGGAGCTCGTGGGCCAGCAGCTCCAAGCCATGAGCGCGCCGTCCCGCGACGATCTCCTCATTCTGCACAGCGACATGCGCCGCGCGATGGAAACTGCAACGATCATTGGCGATTTCTTTCCCGACTGCGCACTCTCGTGCACGCCGCTGCTCCGCGAAGGCTGGCCGGGCAACCCGTCGCCGACGGACGCCAACGCCAACGTCTTGTCGCCCAAGGAGCAAGCGATCGAAGACGACCGGCTCGACGCGGCGTACCGAGCACTCATCTCGACCGACGTGCTCGACGAAGCGGCTTCACTCGAAGGGCCGCATGGGTGCCGCGTTGTCGTCTGCCATGCGAATTTGATCCGGTACTTTCTGTGCCGCGCGCTTGGCATCTCGCCCGTCGGCGTGTGGGGCCAGTTTGAGATCAACCACTGCAGCATTACGCGCCTCGACATTGGCTCCAACGGCACGTGCAAGGTGCTCAGTGTCAACGAGTGCGGCCATTTGCCCACGTCGCTGCGCACGTCGAGCGAAGACCACTTGTAGCAGCGTTCTCGACGCGTCTAACTTATCGTTGTTGCGTTTTTTCATTTTAGCCGATTTTCGCACCAAAAATGACCAAAAATGGAGGGAAAAGCAAAATTTACTTTTCCGCGCGGATCCGGGCCTTGTACGCGCTTGTCGTCTCAAAGTCATCACCTTGGCTCCACATCTTGAGCTTCTTGGCCTTGGCTTTGGCTTCGAGCTTGTCGTACGTGGCTTGCTTGCCGCCGTAGACCGCGCCAGTCTGCCGGTACACGTTGGCTAGACCGACCTTGAGCAGCTCCTCGGACGCGTCCTTCTTGAACGGCCCCCAGCCATACTCAACGAGGCACACTAGAGCAGGCATGCGCTCAATGTGAACGGTGAACAAGAGAGATACCCGCGCGGGCGTACTGATCCTTCTGCAGCAGCGTGAGCGTCAGCTTGCGGTTCTCGAGCAGCTTGGTCAAATGCGCCTTGGCTTCGTCACCAAACGGCTGGCCTTGGTTGCCAAACTTGGCCGTCTCGGGCGTATCTAAGCCACCCATAAGGTGAGCTTTGAGAAAAGGACAGGTAGTACCAATCGCGCAGAGGCGGATCTGGAGCGTCTGCTCCGAGAGCTTGCCGTCCATGGGTCCAAGACCACGGAAGAGCGGGAGGTGGCGCACACGCAGCGTATCACCGTCGCTAAAGTTGATGGCCTTGGCCTTGATCTTGCGCTGCTCCTGGAACATAAAGTTGGGAATGTCTTCGACTGTTGCAAAGCGCGTGAAGGGCGCCCGAAGCCGCGGCAAGACGAGCCCGAGCCCGAGGCCGATGAGGAACGCGCCGCCGATCTGGACGTGCGTGTTGTCGAGAAGCTGCATTGGCAGCAAGTGCTTTTGACCGTCGGCCATCTGCTGCATCTGCGCCCGCACGCGCGTCCACTCGGCCTCGGCTGCCTTCTGAATCGCCTCCAAGTCCATCGATGCTGTAGAAAAGTGCAGTCGGCGGTGATCACCATCACCAGCAGCCAATGGCATCGCGTACACGACTGCTTTTCAATGCATTTTCACCAATCACATCACGCATTGCAGGACGCTCTTGGTGATATGTCTTGAAGAGCTGTCGTCGAGTGCCTGGACTATAACTTGGCCAGCTAACGTGGACAAGCACATCAAGCACCAAGTATCCATGAAAAACGCAGCTTGGTGCTGACTTGGGCTCGAGCCAGCTCTGTATGCTGACACTAGTAAATGCTTGACGACAGCTACAATTCCCTTGGGTACAATGGGCTCTGGACGGGATGCCCGATGTGCGATGGAGCTTGCTGGCATCTCTCTACTCTACTGGTGTAGTAGTACTCGGTCGAAGCGATCGAATCTTGGTGGCCAGCTGCAGCGCCACGATGGCACAACAGCGTGTACCCAAGCGCGCGCGCATAATTTCAAACTTGGCATTTGTATGCAGCACCCGCCGAGGCAGAAAGATTTTGACCAATGAACGCGCGACGGCAGATTCCTCTACAGAAAGGACATGGCGCCAGCTGGTGCAAAGTCGGGCGACGTTGTCGTCATCCGCGGACCGAGCGCATTCGTCAAGGACCAGGATGCCGCACCACTGGCTCCGCCCGCTGCTGCTGCTGCTGCTCTTGGTTGCCGAGACGCACGCCAAGTGGGCGCCGACCGAGAAGGACACGTTCTACATTGGCAACGACATCAAAGTCACGCACCAAGCGTCGCCAAGCTCGTGCAAGCGCGACTGCGCCGCCGTTGTTGGCTGCGTCCTGTACGTCTGGGAGCCGCGCGACGGTGGCGTGTGCTTGCTCAAGAGCCACAAGGGCGTGCAGGCGCCTCTGCCCGGCGTACACGCCGCCGCCCTCGTGCACCAATCGATCAACGCCAAGAACTTGGTTCCGCGCGGTAGGCTCGACCACGTCGCGATCGAGTTTGCCATTTATGGCGACGCGCCGCTGCCGCGCGTGCCCTATCACTACGTAGCCGGTGCGCAGTGGAACGTCTTCTTCCCAAGAGCGCTCTACACGGCGGTCTTTAACGCAAGCGAGCGCGTCTTTGATCCTGAATACACGCTGTCATCGGACGCCGAAATCCCGTCGCCGTACGCAGGCGTCGAGTCCGTTGGCGAGTGTGCGCGCATTGCCGCGTCGCAGGACTTTGCCTTCTTCACGTACCTCCCGTCGCCGCAGCTATGCGTGCCGGCGGCCTTCTCCAATACGAACCCGAATGCCGACCGCGCGGCCGTCTTGCGGCATCCAATGGCAGGCGCCCACGTCACAATGACATACCCGAAGGAAGTGCCGTCGTCGTTCACGCAGGCGGCGCCCAACGCCACCAGTGCTGATGCGTGCCTCGCGGCGTGCGAAGCCGCGGTCTCGACCTGCGTCGGGTACCACTTTACAAATGGGTCGTGCGCGCTTGTGGCGCCGCGGCCCGCGCCTGCCGACGTCGTTGCTGGCTGGGTGCACCAAGACATTGCCCATGAAGAGGACGTCATGATCCGCATGGCGTTCATGCCCGGGTTTGCGCTCACGGGGTACGTCGAGCGACAGGGCCCGAAGAAAGCGTCGCGCTACGACTGCGGCGAGTGGGTCGAGATCACGCAGCACACGTTCTTCCACTACGACGAGGCGACGGGTGCCTGCGCGTACTTTGATCCGGCACCGTCGTCGGCCAACAAGACGATCCAGCTCCAGTACTCGCGCAACGAGCTTCTGCAGCTGCCAGGACATCTCCCAACAACACCGATTCTGGCGACGCTCTCAGCCCCGAGTGCGGCTGCCTGTGACGCGCTGTGCCTCCCGGCCAAGGACAATTGCTTTGCAACCGTCTATGACGCGGTGACACGCGAGTGCGTGCTGCACACGCCGGCTCACGACCCGGCGCGGACGCTGGCGTGGCTCGCGCCGCGAAAGCTCCTCGACAATCTGCAAACGGTCAACGAAGCGCACTTTTTCATCACCGCGCACCAAGACGACCACGAGCTCTTCATGGCCGAGACTGTGCTACAGCGTCTCAACGCGACCAACTCCAAAGCCGTCTTTATCTACGTGACGGCGGGCGACGCCAACGAGACCAACGGCTGGTGGGAAGCGCGCGAGACGGGCACATTGGCCGCGTCCAAAGCGTGGGTCGAGGCGCTCGGGCTCTTCAACTCGCGCATTCGCATCGAAACCATCTTCCTGGCGCAGCACAGCGTGCACAAGGCGACGATCGGCAACGCCGTGCACTACTTCTTGCGGCTCACCGAGGCCGCGGTCGAGGCGTTCATGGCCCACAAGAAGATACCTGCGGTGCCGCCCGTCGACCGTCCGAGCGAGCGCTACCGCAGTCTCGACGACATCAAGGACGTCTTGCACGCCATCATGCATCGCGAGAGCAATCGCATGCCGACCGTGACAGTCGCGACGCACGAGTTCCAGGGGTTTGCAGCCGACGACATTGGCGTCGACCACGAGCTGCACGAGCGCACGGGCGAAATGGTGGACGAGATTGTGGCCACGTCGCGTGACTTTGGCCAGTGCGTCTCTCAGACGTTTTACTATGGCTACCAGCGCTGGCTGCACCCAAGAAACATGTCGCCGGTCGCCACGCGCCTCCAGCGCCACGTGTGGGCGAGCACGTCGAGTGATATGTTTGACGAGCACAAGATTTTCTACCCTGTTTGGCTCGACCACGCGCAGCACCTCGGCCGAGAGTACGTCTCGCGCACTATCTCCGTCGACGGCAAGTGCTCCGTCAACTTTTAGACTAGGAACTGCTTGTGTCATTTGAATTTTATTAACGTGGTGCTGGCTGGTTTGCTACTGTATTAGCCGTCTACACAATTGACAATACAGCTTGTCTAACGACTGCTTCCCGAGGTCAGTTGGTAAAGCTTCTGCTCCGCATCTCGAAGGACGCTGGTTCGAGGTTCGAGCTCGGCGGCGCGCGCGCATGATGTTGCATTCTCCACGTATCCTATCTGTGGCGAAACCACATGGCCGTCACGTGCCAGCGGCGTGCGATGTATACGCTGATGTATACGTAGTGCACCACACCATGTGGGCCCAGGAGTCCAATACACATGGACAAGGTCGCTCGCAGCCACCCAGAAAATCAGCCGTGCGCGTCGCGTGACATCGGCACATTCATCGCGTTACTTGAGCAACAACTGGAGGCGTCACCTTCTCACTCACGCCGTGTACTACTTGTCAATCCGATTGACATGGAGTGACTCAATCCTTACACCAGTAGATGGATACATTTGCACCTATTCAAAGCCACTCATATTCATGTTGTGGTACCAGCCAGCACGTGGTGCTGATCTTCATCAGAGGGTGGTGCGACGACCGCCAGCATGAGACTGCTCCCAAAGCGCAGCGTGCCGGACCTCGCCACTTTGCTCAGCGTAGCCATGAGTGGCCGCCCAGGCCTTTGTTTGTTCCACGTTTACTAAATCAAAACACTGGTACAGTCAACATGGAACAACCAAAGGTGTATTATATCTGGTCGTCCAGATGACAATGTACGGTACAATGATCATTTTCAGCTTCGAGTGCGACGACGGCGATCGCGATTGCATCCCACGTTCTACAAACCTGGTGAATACCGGGGGTGCTGGCTGTCATTCATGTTGATCTGCGCGCAACTACAGACAGGATGCTTCCGCGCACACAGAGAACCCTCGCGACAATGAACAAAGTGCTGGGCTTGGGGAGTAGCCACGTTGTACTCACACTATACCTACAGTCAGAGCAGTGTCAGCGGTACGATGATAGGCTAAGGAACGACACGTGTTGACCATGGCCTACTGTAACACAAGTCTTGAAATGTGTGTCCATATTAAAACCGAGTTTAATTTTGCCCATACAGTACTCGCGAGAGTCCATTGTCGCGAGGGATATCTGTTACAGAGATCCCTCAGAGCTACAGAGTATGTAGCACTTGTGTACACAAGGACCGGTATAGTAGATCGCATCGATCTGAGATACTCAAGTGAGCCGCGACACTCGATGATCGATCCTACTTTCCAACACTTGATCGCATTCTGATTTTGACCGTATTCTTTCTCGAAAAGCTCGTGGCAGCTCGATCCCCTCCAACGAAGTGCTGTCCAACGTACCGACGAGCTTGACCAGAGAGTCCAAGCTCTCCAGATTGCTGTATGTTTTTCGTCATTCGAATGGCTACGAAACTATTTCCGAGAGCTGGAGTAGCACGCAGCAATGATGGGACATACGACCATTCTCAGACTGATGTGATCCGTCATATGCCCAACCCATCAGATGCTCTGGTGGGAACGAAGGAGTAGCCAACCAGGTGGCACAACCCTATACCCAAGCTTTGCACCCAGACACATTGGTATTGCTCGAGGTCAGTGCGGTGGCTCAAGGTCGTCACTTTTGAATTTGCCAGCCATGCTTCAAAGCAACAAGAAGGCTGCCGAGTACAAGACTTTTGAGCCCGCGCCCCGCGTGAACCCACTCGACGACGCCAACGTCGTCTCGCGCCTGGCGTTCGCCTGGACCAAGCCACTGCTTCGGCTCGGAAACGTGCGCCAGCTTGCGTCCAGCGACCTCTGGCAGCTCCAAGGCGCCAACAAGGTCGAGCCGCTCACGGCGCATTTTGAAAACGTCTACGCGCGCAAGAACAAGGGTCTTCTCTCGTCCTTCTTTGCGATCTACTGGGGCCGCTTCGCATGCATCGGCTTCATGCAGCTCTTCACCGTGCTCGCCGACTTGTACGGCCCGGGCTACGTCCTCGGCGAGATCATTCGCGCCGTCGAAGCACCCGTTCTTGACACGACGTATGTCCTCCAACTCATCGGGTCGCTCTACCTCGTGCAAGTGACGGCCGCGTTCATCCGGGGCCACATGACGTACCTCAACGACGTCATTGGCATCCAGTTCTCATCGGTGCTGCGCTCGATGCTCTTCAAGAAGGCTTTGCGCTTGGACGCATCTTCCAAGAAGGAGAAGACAGCGGGCGATATTGCCAACCTCTTCTCGATCGACACCATCAACGTCATGAGCTTTGCGACAAGCATCCACTCGATGTGGGTCGTGCCGCTTCAAATCGGAATTGTGTTGCATCTTCTCTACGCGATCGTGGGCTGGGCCATCTTTGTCGGTCTCGGCGTTGTCGTTCTCATCATGGTCGTCAACGGCGTCGTCGCCGGTCTCATGGGCGCCGAGCAAGAACGCTGCTTCAAGCTCAAGGATGACCGCATGAAGGTCATCAACGAGGTCTTTGGCGCGATCCAGATCATCAAGTTCAACGCGTGGGAGGAAAAGTTCCTCGCCAAGATCCGCCAGCTGCGTCTCGTTGAATTCGCCTCGGCCAAGAAGCTCGTGCGGATCATCGTCGTCCTCATCTCGTTCATGAACTGCACGCCGATCTTTGTCACCGTCGTCGTCTTTGCAACGTTTACGCTCTGGATGCAGCAGGCTTTGACCGTCACGATCGTCTTTTCGACGCTGGCGCTCTTCAAGTCGCTCCAAGACGCCCTTGTGAACCTACCGATGGTGGTCTCGTCCATGGTCCAATCGCTTGTCTCTGCCAAGCGCATCAACGATGTGCTCAACATGTCCGAGTGCGATCCAACCAACGTCTCGACGCCGTCCGACCCGATCGCCGCCGTCTACGCCAAGGACCAGGTCGTCCTCGCCATCGACAATGCCTCGTTCACGTGGGACACGACCACGACGCCCACCTTCACCAACGTCAACCTCCGTGTCACGCGCGGCGAGCTCGTCGTGCTGCATGGCGCGGTCGGCCAAGGCAAGTCGTCGCTCTGCTCGGCGCTCCTCGGCGAGATGCAAAAGCTCTCCGGCTCGGTCTTTGTCGGCGGCCAAGTGGCCTACTTTGCGCAGCAGGCGTGGATCCAAAACACGACGATCCGCGAAAACATCCTCTTTGGCCAGCCGTACGACCGCACCAAGTACCAGAAGGTCCTCGACGCGTGTGCGCTGCAGAGCGATCTCGCGTCGTTGCCGGCCAGCGACCGCACGGAGATTGGCCAGAAGGGCATCAACCTCAGCGGCGGCCAGAAAGCGCGCATCGCCCTCGCCCGCGCGTGCTACAGCGACGCCGACATCTTCATTTTGGACTCGCCCTTGTCGGCTGTCGACGCGATCGTGGCCAGCGAGATCTTTACCAAGTGTTTCCTCGGCCTCTTGGCCAAGAAGACGGTGCTGCTCGTGACGCACAACCCCGAGATCATCGAGTCGGTCGCCCGGACGCTGCTCGTGCAAGACGGTCAGCTCATCGAGTCGACGCACGACTCGCCGCGCACACGTCAAGAAGCGACACCGGCGGTGACGCCACTCAAGGCCCGTACGCCGTACTGGGAAGAGGCGGAGGTCGTCGAGTACCCGGCGCCGGGGCCGCGCCATGAGATGCTGGTGACGCCGTCGCTGCGCACGCCATACAGCTACAACGCGCGCGAGATGCTGTACACGCCGCGCGAGCCGGTCGCGGGCCAGTCGTTTGAAGAGTCGGGCCGTCTCATCGCCGACGAAGAGCGCGCCGAAGGGCGTGTTTCCAAGAAAGTCGTCTACGGCTACGTCCGGAGCATCGGTGGTGCCCCGGCGGTGGCGGCGATCGTCGTCTTGACGTTTTTGACGCAAGTGCTCAAGGTCGGCAGTGACTTTTGGCTCACGTACTGGTCCAACAACGTCCAGCAGCGAGCAAACGCAACGGTGTCTGTCGACAGCAACATGGACATCTACGCGGGCCTCGCTCTCGGCAGCTGCCTCATGGTGGCAGCGCAGACGTACCTCGTCGTGGAGCTTGGTCTCGTCGGGTCCCAGCGTATGTTTGACGGGATGCTCCGCAGCCTCTTGGAGGCGCCAATGCGCTTCTTCGACACCAACCCGATCGGGCGCGTCCTGAACCGGTTTGGTGACGACATCATGGCGGCTGACTTTGGCATTCCGCTGACCCTGGGCCCCATGTTGTTTGAAGTCTCGTCGACGCTTGCCACGCTCGTGACGACGGTCGTGCTCATGCGCTGGCTCGGCGTCTTGGTGCTGCCGCTGCTCGCTGTGTACCTCTACCTTGGCGCGTTCTTCTTGGGCCCGCTCCGTGAAGTGAACCGAATTATCAAGACGACGCGGTCGCCGCTCATTAGCTCCGTCTCGGAAGGCATTGACGGCTCGACGACGATCCGCGCGTTTGGCGACAAGCAGCTCCGCCGCTTCTACCGGCTCAACACGCAAAAGATCGAGACGTTTTGTGAGGCCCGCGTGGTCTACACTGCGATCAACGTGTGGTTCTCGCTGCGCATGTCGCTCCTCGGTAGCACCATCGTGGTCCTTATCCTTCTGGCGCTCGTCTTCCTGCACGAGTCGCTGAGCCCGGGTATTGTCGGCCTCTTGATCACGTACGGTCTCTCGATTCCGGGCACGCTTGCCTTGCTCGTCGGCCTCTGGTCCCAGCTCGAGACGTCCATGATCGCACCCGAGCGCATCCAAGAGTACATTGCGATCGAGTCCGAGGGCGCCCGCGTCACTACCGTCGCCGCCGCCAACTGGCCCACGACCGGTGCTGTCACCTTTGATGCCGTCAGCTTCCGCTACAAGCCCAACGACCCGCTCGTGCTCAAGAACGTCTCGTTTGCTATTGCTGGTGGCGAGAAGATTGGTATCGTTGGCCGCACGGGGGCCGGGAAAAGCAGCCTCATGATGGCGCTCTTCCGCATGAACGACGTGGCGTCCGGGTCCATTTCCATCGACGGCGTCGACATTGCAGCCGTCGGTCTCCGTACGCTGCGCAGCCACCTCGCCATCATTCCGCAAAACCCCGTCCTCTTCAAGGGCACGCTGCGCAACTACTTGGATCCGTTCGACGAGTACGACGACGCGTCGCTCTGGGACGTGCTCCAAAAGGTGCAGGACGGTCGACCGCGTCTCGCAGCACGACGAGAAGCTCCTCGGCCCCGTGGACGAAAACGGCGAGAACTTTAGCGTCGGCGAGCGTCAAATGCTGTGCATGGCCCGCGCCCTCCTTCGGCAAGCCAAGGTCGTCGTGCTGGACGAAGCGACGGCGGCCATCGACCACGCGACGGACAAGGTGCTGCAGGGCGTGATCCGGACCGAGTTTGCGACCTCGACGGTGCTCACGATCGCGCACCGCTTGGACACGGTCTTGGACTGCGACCGGATCCTCGTGTTTGACCAGGGCGCGTTGGCGCAGAGCGGGACGCCGCAGGCGCTCGTGGCTGCGGGCGACGGCATCTTCTTTGAGCTCGTCCACGAAGGCGGCTACATGGACAAGATGACTGTTCACCGCACCGACGAGGCGTGAGCCGTAGACGTAGTGTTAGCTAACCTATGATACGAAGCATGGAATGTAAGTGCGTCTTGCGTAGATCTCTTCATGTGGCAACCGCATGAAGCCAACAAACGCGATCTATCGGATTGATCGACAGTGACAGTGACGTGGTGGCGGCTGGATCCTGAGCTTGACACGCATTATCTGGATGATCGGGTGCCCATGTAACTCAAGACTATCGTATATAGGACAAAGCCTGAAAGAACCAACTCGCTTCCTACCATCACCTTGGCTCCCTGCACGCAGAAACCCGCACCTCCACCTCCCCTGCACCCCCTTACTATTCCCTTACCACTCCCTTACCATCCCCCAAGGCCCCAACACCTTAACACCCCGGCGCTGGCCCCGGTACCGGTAGGTCCGAGGGGCAATGACGTTTAACAGGCACGACGTACAATTTAAACGGGTTAACTGTAAATCCATTTTTGATGCCGAGCTCCACCTCGGCACTCGTAACGCTCGGCGGACCATCAAGGTCTTCTTCAGCTTGTCTAACGACTGCTTCCCGAGGTCAGTTGGTAAAGTTTCTGGTCCGCATTTCGAAGGACGCCGGCTCGAGCTCGGCGGCGCGCGCGCATGATGTTGCATTCTCCACGCATCCTATCTGACAACGGATCGAGAACGAAGGCACCAATCTATGTTGTGTTGACAAAGTGTCGCTTGCGGGGTGAGCTGGTAGGAACATTCTGGTTGAGAATCGGATAGCACGCAAACATCAAGTCATAAATTAGATGGATTCGATGGCACCGCTTGGAGGTGGTTCACTAGTTAACGTTAGTAGCGCGCGACCGCATCGTGGGCGACTTTGTGGTCTTGGCTTTGCAGCTTCTGTCTTCCTCTTGCCCTTGTTGGTCTTGCGCATGTCTTGGGGTGATTTACAGCTTCTTCTCGGTGCGCGGGCGCTTGTTGTGGGGCGACCGGTCGATGGTTGCCGTAGCCGCGCGTTTCTTCTTGTCCTTGGCCAGCGCAGCTTTGGGGCGGTTGGCGTTGGGGTCGATGCTGCACGCGTCGTTGCTCGAGTGCCAGTACCGGTCGTCGCCAATGGACATGCGCCACAGCGCCGCCGAGAAGGTGGGGCGCAGCTTGGAGATGCTTGCGGTCAAAAGTGACGAGAGGAGCATGCACCGAAAGTGGGCTGTCGATTGAACGCGAGAGAACATGATGTAGAGGAGCTCAAAACGTCAATGCTGGCATTGGCATCTTGATGTATCGAGGGACGCATTTACTACCTTGGTTGTCGTCGATGGATGGTTCTTGCAGATTTGCATCACATGATACCGCGTGATACATCAGTATTACGTCGCAATGTGGTATCGCACATGGGTGCATTGGGTCGCCGAGTTCGTCCAGAGCATTTGCCGACGTCGTCATGGAGCCGAGGCGAGTTGCTGAGGTCGCTGCGATGGGTTGTTCACACTTCGCGAGTCTTGCCTTCCTTTGGGTCTCTTGCTTCCTCTGCCCTTGCCGCTCCGTAAAAGCTCCACCTTGTCCACCGTTCGTGGCTCCACCTGCTTCCCATGAGGCTCCATGGTACTAGAGGGCGTCCTTGCCATGGCGGTCGTCTCCGCGCGCTTCCGCTGTCCGGATATTCAACCCGCGCCGAGAGGCTCTATTAGGTGCGGCTGTGAGGGAGGGAGCGATGTACCCTGATAAGTGCGCAGCACTTAATGTGTACAAAAACAAGTATAATGTTTTAGATTGTCAGTACTTAATTAGGACTACAAAATCGCACTTCAATGGGCATGCTCCGCGCGATGCGATTGGCTATGAAACCCAGTTTTATTAAACAAAAAGCCGCATTTATAGCCAATGGGTTGTCCGGAGTAAGACTCGACACGCTGCATCAATGGGACGTTCCTACGAGGATTACAGTTTCGTTCGGGATGCAGCAACGAGCGTACTACCCGCGGATGTACAGGAGCCCCGAGTGGACCGACGGCGACGACGTCATCTTGCTCCGGGAGGTGGCCAGGGACCGGCCCTTCCTTGCGCGCTATGGCTTGGTCGCGGGCGCGTGGACGAGTCTCGCTGCCAAGGTCGTCGCCACCGAGGGCTTTACGCGCACCAACTTTTCCTCGACCAAGGCGCAGGTCCGCTTCACGACCCTCATTAGCAACCATCGGAGCGAGACCGAGACATCGTTGCTCGACTCCAAGTGCTCGGAAGTCTGCTTTGAGAAGCGCTCGCTCCTTGATACCCTCCTGCCTCTATGGAGCAGCCGCAAAGCGAGAGCGGACAAGAAGACACCACGTACCACAGACGCCGACTCGCAGCGTCGAAAGGACACGAAAGGACCAACGCCAGCATCCAACTGCGATGTCGACCCACTGCGTCGCGACGAAGCGCAAGCGGACGGCCAGAAGCGCGGCGACGACAACAACGTGCAAGAACGCGACTTTGAGCTGCGTCAAGAAGATCTGCGCCAAGAAGATCTGCGCCAAGAAGATCTGCGCCAAGAAGAGCTGCACCGAGAAGAGCTGCACCATGAAAAGCGACGCCGAGAAGAGCTGCGCCAAGACGCGCTGCGCCGAGAAGAGCGGCGCCAAGAAGAGCAGCGACGTGAAGAGCTGCGCCAAGAAGAGCGGCGGCGAGAAGAGCAAGAGCCGGACGCCGAGCACCAGTTGGCAGCTGAGCGAGACGAGGAGCCCGACGCCTTGCAGCGCGACGTTGCCATCGTGGCGCCACAGGAGCGGACGCTCGATCAAGCGTTGTACGCCAGCGGCGACGATGAGAGTGCTTCGGAGGACCTTGATGAGGTGGTCGTCCAGCCCAGAGCAAAGAAGCGCAAGACGACTCGCGATGCTGGCAAGGACGACGAGCAGGCTACGATGCTTGAGCTTTTGCGCCACGAGTGGCGTGAGGAGCGTGCGCTGCGACGCGAGCAGTTCGAAGCGGAAATGGCCGAGCGCCGCGACGAGAGACGAGAGCGCATGGAGCTGGCCCGCATGGAGCACGAACGTATGATGCTGCTGCTGCAGTGCCACTCCAAAAAGGTCGAGGCAAGGTCCGATGTTCACAATGTCTAAGTGATCGTGATAAACGGCATGCATTATCTGTCCTTGTCGACGTCGTTGCTGTCGAGGGGATCTCGACGTGGTACTACAACTCTACGCGTGGAGGTCGACAGAATCGCCGGTTGATAGATTAAAGCAAATAGGTCGATCGAATGCGACACGCCAAGAAGGTATAGGGTACAAAAGCTCAGTTGGTGTAGCCCATCGCCTTTTTATAAGCGACCTTGTCCCGCGTCGTCGGGCGGTCTGCGAGCCAATTGCCCGAGCTCGTGCGCCGGGCAAACTTGCGCTTCTTGGCGCCGTCGCGCGGCTGGAAGATGGCTTCGAGGTCGCAGGTCGCGATGAATTCTGGGAAAATCGACGGCGTCGGGTCGATCGCGTCGGGCCCAAACTGCTTGGCGAGCGCCTTCTCCAAGTGCGCCTTTTGCGCCCACTTGGGCACGGCCTTGGTGTCGTCTTCGCCGTTGCCGCTCTCGTCGCTACCGTGTTGGTTTGCTCGCACGAATGCAAACAAAATGGATCGACGCACCTCTCTGGCTCGGACATTTCGTACGTTGTCGGCTCGGGCTTCTTGGATAGCAAGACGGCTTCGATGGGCTTCTTCTTCAACGCCTTGGCACTCGAACTCGGTGCCGAGCTGAGTGGCTTCGCAATCTCGACGCGAGGTTTGGACGCTGCCGCCTTGGCCACTGTCTCGACCTTGCTCCTCGGTTGGTCGTGTCGCTAGATCGTTATTTTCACAAACGCGTGCGACGAGGACCACGTACGAGCTTCTCGGCGCGCTCCAATTGCCTGCGCTTCTCGTCGGTCGCGGCTTGAATCTCCTGCAGGCGGGCCGCGCGCTTCCTCGCCACTTCCGTTTCTCGCTGTCGACGCTCGGCCGCATCGCGCTCTTGCTACAGAGATGTGACGTGTCGTGCGGGATCACGAGGCAAGAAGATGCGGTACCTTTTGACGCTCGGCCTCGGCCGCCACCTGCGCAGCCGTCTTGCGACGCTTCTCTTCGTCGAGCCGGCGCTGCTCCTCGTACATCTTCATGAGCCCTTCCTTGCGTTTGGCGCGATCGATCGCCTTTTTCGGCTCAAGCGCACGGTTGCGCTCGGCGAGCTTGAGCGAGCTAATGGCGGGGACCGTTGCCACCGGCTTGGATGCTGGTTTGGCGGCGAGCGACGAAAACGAGTAGAGTCCCGAGACGAGGTTGGTGGGGCGGCGCGCGTCCACCTCCGATGGCGTCGATGCCGCTACTGGCCGCGCTGCTTTGGACTCTTCTTCGATGCGACGCCGCGCAAACTCGCGGGCTTGTTGTCGCATGCGGTACGACTCTTGCTCGAT